GTAGTATGGAACCCCAAGCTCAGCAGGGAGGCAGAAGTATAAGGCTCTTGTATTTTCTGCTTTTAGGTCAACCTGTGTACTTGAACAATTAATTAAATATTACCTACCTCTGTAACATGGGCATGCTGGTTTATCTCCCACATGCCAGTTTGTATATGATCATCCATGTTAGCATATAAAGGCAAAACCAGTAACTGTGTTTAAGATGTTCTAATAAAATGCTTAACACATGGGCATAATACCAGTCTTGCCTGGGTGCTTTTCCCCAACACAGTTAACCTTGAGACCCAAGATAACTTATTTTGCCTCCCTGAGCAATAGTTCCACCTATTTGCAAAGAAGGAACACAATATTTCCCTTGTAAACTTGTGGTAGAGATTAAACTAGCCTAGAAGAGATCCCAAATCCATGGCAGGTGTAATGATTGCTAATATTTTTGTGGCCTTCAATGTTTTTCAACAAGAATAAAACTATAGCGACACAGGTACTAACTAACAATGGCATGATAACTAACTACTAAAATAAACTTAAAACATTAAGGAATAAATGTTGATCGGCACTTCCTTTCAATATCTGAACACTGAGAAACTGATCTGAGTCAAGATATTTTCACTTTTAAGCCTTTCAAACATAGAATGGTTTTAAAACTACAGTCTTTTTACAAACAAGCCATAACCTAATAACTTTCTTTTTTTTCTTTCTTCTCTCTCTCTCTTTCTTTTTTTTTTTTTTTGAGACGGAGTTTCTCTGTTGTTACCCAGGCTGGAGTGCAATGGCACGATCTCGGCTCACCGCAACCTCCGCCTTCTGGGTTCAAGCAATTCTCCTGCCTCAGCCTCCCAAGTAGCTGGGACTACAGGCGCGCAGCACCATGCCCAGCTAATTTTTGTATTTTTAGTAGAGACGGGGTTTCACCTTGTTGACCAGGATGGTCTTGATCTCTTGACCTCGTGATCCACTTGCCTCAGCCTCCCAAAGTGCTGGGATTATAGGTGTGATCCACCATGCCCGGCCTCTTTCTTTCCCTTGCCTTGCTCTGTCACCTAGGCTGGAGTGCAATGGCATGATTATGGCTCACTGCAGTCTCAAACTCCCAGGCTTAAGCAATCCTCTCACATCATGACTTAAAATTCTACACAATGAATTTTTATAAGGTGAACTGGACACTCTACTACTGATTAAATAGGACACCTGAGTTCCCTAAGGCACAGTAGGGAGACATAAGTTCTTTATCCTAGTGATTTTTTACTCCTTCAAGTTGCTGGGACTGCTGGCAAGCACCACCATGCCTGGCTAATGTTTTATTTTCTGTAGAGATGGGGTCTTATCATGTTGCAGAGGCTGGTCTGAGCTCCCAGGATCAAGCAATCTTCCCACTTCAGCCTCCCAAAGTGCTGGAATTATAGGCACGAGGTAGTGCACCTATCCTGATAACTGCTCTTCTATACAGACTTGGGTTATCAATAATTCCATCAGAAAGAAAACTGCCTCCCCCCTATTGGAGGTACCTGATAATGTCAGATTGGCAATAAACAAATTCTTCTGTTGGAGATATTTGTAAATTCAAGGCTTTAATTTTTCTCACAAATGTAGCTACAAATTCCAAATATCATTTTGCAACTCTGCCATTTGATTTCTCCAAACGTTCTCAACATTAGTGTTTTGTTTTTTGAGACAGAGTCTTGCTCTGTCTTTCCGGCTGGAGTGCAATGGTGCCATCTTGGATTACTGCAACCTCCGTCTCCCAGGTTCAAGCAAGTCTCTTGAATAGAATTGAGTAGCTGGGATTACAGGCACCAGCCACCATGCCCATCTAATTTTTATGTGTTTTTTTTTTAGTAGACACAGGGTTTCACCCTGTTGATAAGGCTGGTCTCGAACTCCTGACCTCAGGTGATCCACCCGCCTAGGCCTCCCAAAGTATTGGGATTACATGTGTTAGCCCACATAGGCTTTCTCTTCCACATACTTAGGGCCTTTTACTATACGCTGATTGGGTAAGAGTACAAAATCACCTGAATAAATATGTCTCCCTACCGGGCCTCAGGAAAACACAGGTGTCTTGTTTAATCAATAATAAAGTGTCCAGTTCACCTTATAAAAATTAACTATATAGAGTTTTGAGTTCTAGAAAACATGGAGTAACTGACAGATTTCAATTCTGGCAAGAGTACAGGAAAAGAAGAGATGCTTTACTGCAATTAAATAGAGATTAAGAACAGTGCCAAGAAGCAAATTCAGATTAAAATCTCATTTGGCTTTAACTGACATAATTCTGTCCCACTCTAATATTTAACCGCATGATAGCTGAGGATGCTATGACACAATCTGGTGTCAGTATCAGATGAAGATGGAAGAGGGTCAGATCTTAAGACACCCGACTGCAGGAGGCAGGGGGAAGAACAAGTTAAAACATCTTTGTGGGAGGGTGACAGGGGGACAGTAGCCCATAGTTTGACTTAAAGATGGAGGAGTCTTATCTTCTAGTTACTCCAGAAAATATAACTTCCCTAATTATCTAAAAAGGCTCTTTCTTCTATGAGATAGTCCATCAACAGTGAGTTGCTCTCACAAATGACTGCCATGTCCATTTGGAAAGTTTCTCTTAGTCTCACTAGGCTTAACAAAACACCTCCCAGTTGTAGGACCCAGAGCCTCTGCGGACTCTCAAAGAGCCATTATGTGGCCTGGGTTACTTGGATTTTATTAGCAGAAGTGATTCTCTGTAAGGTCAGGGAACACCATCTGCTTCCCCAGATACTGGATACATTCAGCGCTGTAGTGGAAACTGTATTGGGATTTTAGGCTTCCAGTAAACTGAGAGCCCAAAGGTCTCAGTCTGCATGTGAACATTAATGCCATCATTTCTGGGGACAATATTGTTCATGATCATTTCACTGTTCTCACCTCCTCACCCTGTACAGGCTGCATCAACTGACACCCACTTCCTTGACACCCTAGGCACTGCCTTGCTTCTATATTGATTTTGGTGCTGCTCTAGAGTGCACGCTTCTCATTACCGTGTTATTAATCTTGTCTTAGGAGTGTCATTTTTGCGGTGATGTGGGAACATGTGACAAACAAAAGCCACCAGGTTGCCATGGAATGTAGTTGGAGCCAGTTAGATCTCTAACTGGATGGGGAAGGGTGTTTCCACATCCCTAAGTTCTCCCATTGTGTTTTATGAAACAGTAAAAAATGTCTCATATATTGTCTCTTGTTTAGACATCTACTAATGAAGTTAGTGAAGAGGCGAAAAAGCAGTGTAGACATCAGTGGGGGAGGCCTAGACTTTTTTGAGATCTAATTCTGTTGCCCAGTTAGCATATTCATCTAACTTTCTCACACAGATCTAGAGTTTATAGGTTTAGTGGATTCCAGCATGTTTTGTAACTGCATTTCTTTCTGTGATGACATTCTACCACAAGACTGAAATAATCTCTTTTAAAATTGCCACACAAGGGCACCAAACCTAATAAAAAATCATTATAATTAGATAGCTACATCTTTCTTCTTCTAAAGCCATTGCTAACCAAGAAGAAAACTTCCCCATAACCTCTAAACCAAGATCCTCAAGATCATAAATTAACCTTTCAATCAACATTAGCATAAAATAAGATAGTGCAGAATGCAAGCAATACATTGCTATAGCATACATCTAAACTGATAGCCCAAAATGTCACCACCAAAATGGCAAAGAGAATAACATTTCCCACAAGTCAGAGAAAAGATTGCCAAGTGATTTTCTTAAAATAGCTAGTTATCTGAAACCCTTCAGTGTTCTCAGAACACTGTAAAAGTCTAAAGTCAATTCAGAGGTCTAATATATTCTTCCCCAAACTAACACAGTGTTGAAACAAGACAAAATCTGGCTGGAGGATATAGGTTTCTCTAATTCTTCTCCCACAGACTTTAAATAGGCCATGAGATAAACCAAAGAACATGTAGCCATCCACAAACGGAGGAATTTAATTTTTTCTCAAATCTGACAGGATGCTAGCAGTGTTAGCATTAGGATTCTCAGGGTGTCTGTGATTGGCGCTGATCCTTGGCAAGAACTGCACTTTTTTTTCCAGAGCTTATAAAGATGGTACATATTGTGCAAATACTACATACATGTATCTGTACACATTACATATGCATAACATAGATTCAGTGTAGTAATCAGATCACGAAGCAGGCATCTAGGAGCAGCAGCAAGGAGCACCTGCTCTTTACATGACCTACTTACAGAAGGCAGAGTCTCCCCGTCAGGCGGTCTTCAGCATGACAATTAGCAGTTTTCCCGCAGTTTGGCCAGCAGGAATGACACAAACCTCTCCCTAGCACAAGTCACTCAGCCCTGTCGGGTTCCTGCTGCTCTCTGGGCAACGGCATTCCATTAGGAGTGTGACACAGTAGGGAAAGAGACCGGTTCACTGTGAGACCTGCTACTCACTCTCGTACAGTGTATCGGCCCCCCTTCCCACTGCACAGTGGCTGCCGGGCTCTGGGCAGGAGGCGTGTGGTCATGATGAAAGTGAACCATGGAGTCACAGTTCCACCGAGACACGCTGCATTCTCAGTAGCCTTCTTGTGAAGGCAGTATCTTTCAGCACGGTATTAAAACAACCTAATTTTGTTCCCTAGCCTTAAGAACAGGGAAAGCACTCTCTTCAAATTGAAAATGAAAAAAAAAAAAAAAAAAAAAAAAAAAAATTAAAAGAAGATCTGAACTAGAAAGGTAAGAACGTGGTTGACTCTGATTTAACGGAAGAAGGATCAAAAAATAATTCATGTAGACTGTTTAGCATGCATGCCAGGGATGCTAGTCTGACATGCTTCACCTTCTCGTACCTACTCCTTTTCCACACAGAGTCAATCAAAGCTTCGTTATCTTCTCTGGGTAGAGGAAATGTGCTGATTTAAATTGCCAAGCTTGAACACTCATCCAAAGAGTACAAGATTCACCAGCAAAAATAACCGGGTTGCGAAGAAAATGGGAAAGAGATTCCAAGTACCTGCTTGCTGGGCTGCCTGTGGCATCTGCTGACTCCTCTGGGCATTGTACTGAACTGAGGCCATGGGCCGGTACTGTTGTGTGGTTGAGGTAGGGTACTGACCAGATGGATAATAATAGACAGGCATCTGTGGAAGAAAGGGGAAAGAAAGCAGAGCATGAGAACGGTCATGTAAATTTTTAAACATAATTATGTTTTCATCTTGTAATTGTGGTAGGTGGTGAAGATGGCCACCACAAACTTCTCCCATGCTTATGTGTATGGGCATGCGACTTCTCCCATGAAGAGGCAAAATCCATTCCCCAAACCTTCAATCTGACCTGGTTCTGTGACTTTTTTGACCAATGCCACGAGGCAGAAATGATGTCTAAAACTTTCAAGCCTGATCCTAAAGACTTGCCCCTTCCACGGCTGTAGGCGGGGAACCCAGCCGAGAGATAAAGAAGTCCAGACTATTCTGCTGCAAAGGCCATGTGTGGAACAGGTACCTCAAGTTCCAGGCATGTGGGGGTAGCCCCAGTCAAGTCACCCCAGCCACACGGAGCAGAGGTGAGCCATCTGTGATAAATCCTGCTCAACTGCTGACCTAATCGTGATCACAAAATGGTTGTTTTAACACAAGCCTTTTGAGGGTTTTTTAGATCAAACAAGAGAGAGTAACACAGTTATCATCAACAATAAAAACCTACATTTTAAATATTATATATAACTTGAATTGCTTTTCTAATGGAAACAGAAGTGAGACATGAAAACTGCTGATCTCTAGCCTGAAAGGAGCAGAGAATGCAATTATGAAATACAGTAGTCTATTAAAGCACATTGCAGAATGCTTGGGACATGCCACTATTCAAAAAAATGTATGTTCGATCTAAAAGGGGAAATAAGATTCTAAAAATCCTATTTATGCTACCTTCTTAACTTTCTTATGACTGAGAGTGAATAAAAGCATTCTGACTACTTGATTATGAGCCAAATCAAATGTTCACCAATCTGTCAGACTTCTTTGACTGCCTCAAGTCATTTATATTAAGGCCACTTTCTTACTAATCTTAGTTAATGATTTTCCCTCTCCAGGCTTCTGCGTTTTCTCCTATTATATTCTCTAAAATGACAACTGAGGTACCCAAGTAGACAGCCCACAAAAGTTAGATACACAGAACAACATTACAAGCCAATTATTTGAGAACTGTGATTTTCATGGCTATTTTGTTTTCTGATTTGCTCAGGTCACATAAGAAGCACTCTTCTGTTTCAATGTTGCTATTGAAACATATGTAACATATTTTACTGCCAAGGATAGAGTGGGAACAAAATATAACAATCTGTGTGAATCTGTAACTCCTGTAACTCTGCAATTTCATGGAATCATGGTAAATTATAGCTGTGGTTATATAATATATGGATATTCAAGGGCAAGAGGCTGAATGAGTCTAAAGCAATCTTGGGTCAGTAGCTGGAAACTAATTCACTGCATACCTTATTCATAGTGATTTGAGCTTACTACTTTTCCCTTATTTTGTCAGGCAGTTTATAACAATAAAAACAAATAATTCTGGAGTAATAATAGCATTTAGCTATGCTCTGGCAAATTGTGGTGCTATTAAAGATGACTACCATTATGCATCAGATGCCTCCCAATAGTAAGAATAAGAACAACTTATCATCTAATTTATTTGTCAGGATTTATATTTACATGTCTTTTAGGAAATAACATTTTGTTCCTTTAGAAAAGACTGTGCCTTGATTAAATGTAAGCTCATGAATGTGGTATCTATTCCTTGATCTCCCTCCTATGTTCAATGTAAAACATAAAATATGCTCAGGAATGAAGGAATTTATAGTTACAAACACTCTAATGAGCACTAACAGTTAGGATAAAAGTACAACTGCATGTAAAAAAGATTTTTCATGAATTCAGTTTTGTTGTTTGTTGTGTTTTGTTCTTTCCCGCAGACACAGCTTCTGTGATACCTTTGCAGCTGAGCCAGAGATTTGGCTGACTGTATCCAGCACCACTGCAAGGTGGTACTTTGCTCAGCTCTTAGGAACTATCACCCCAATCAGATGAAGAAAACCAGCTCTTGGTCTATCCTCATCCTCAAGCAAAGAGGATGGAAAGGAAGCCAGGTTAACAGCAGTCTTTTAAAAGATGAGCATGAAAGGTTTGAAAGGAGAGAGGTAAAGGGAGAAAGGAGTAAGAATGGCCCAAAAGGGAGAAAATGTATATGTTCAATCCAATCACGTTAAAATATCGAGAATCTAAAAATAACTGGATTCGGAGGGAAAGGAAAGAAGAAACTATAAAAAATACGCACTTCTCCCATGTCCCTTCTTCAAATCGTCTTTGCCTCATCCACGTGTTGCCCACTGCACCTTTCCCGTGGGCATTTAGAAAGCACACGAGTCAGATGAAATCGACCTTCACATTTATTATACAGATTCATTTTCTCCAGAAATTTAACGTATTTCCACATAAAGTTGTGGGCTGAATCTGAACTAAGTTATTTTCATCGTTCCATAGTTGGGTGATCAGATTTTAAAGTATTTACTAAATTAAAAGTTACTGTGGGCTGTAGCCTATATCTTTATCTGTGATTCTTCAAAAAGAAGTTCATCTATGTCTAGACTGATCATGAACCATGGATACCTCCCTCTCTTTCTATCTTAAACCTACTGAAGAAGGAGTGAAAGTATTTCTGTCACAGACACAACAGGGGTTATGAATTGTTTTTGCTTCTGCAGTTGATTAATATTAAAATCTCTTCAGTGAAGAAAGACTTTCATTTTAAAATATTTATTTATTTATTTCATTTTCTCAGACAGGGTCTTGCATCGTTTCCTGGGCTGGAGTGTAGTGGTATTGTCATGGCTCACTGTAGCCTTGACATCCCAGGCTCAAGCGATTCTCCCACCTCAGCCTCCCAAATAGGTGAAACCACAAGTATGTACCACCATACCTAGCTATATATATATATATATATATTTTTTTTTTTTTTTTTTTTTTTTTTTTTTGCAGAGATGAAGTTTCCCTATATTGTCCAGGCTGGTCTTGAACTCCCAAGCTCAAGTACACCTTTTGCCTCAGCTTTCCAAAGTGCTAGCATTACAGGTGTGAGCTACAAAATCTGGCTAATTTTTATTTTATGCTTTTTTTTCTTCTAAATTTAAGTAAACATCCCGCTAACTATTTTGTCTGTCAGCAGAAATTAGCAAGGACACTTAAATGCTTTTTAGGCCAAAAAAGCTAAATTATTTTTCCTAATAATTAAGCTTGAAGTCTTTAATTTATTGATATAATTGTTGATATATTAATTAGTCCCTTTCTCCTGTAACTTACACTTATTTTACACATCTTTAAAATCCTACTCGTGAAGAGATATTACAGAGAAGGCAACTGAAGATGAAGCATTAATCAATCACTCAAAATAAAATGAACAATTTAGTGACAATTATTTCATGGTAGAGGGTTTTGTGTGGCTTGAAAAGAAAATAATTTATTCAAGATGTTAAGGCAGTGAAACAAATGATACAAAGGTGACGCTGCACTTTCAACAGCTCATCCAATGCAATACTTCATAATTAGGATGCAATTTTCTTGGGATCTGTGTGACTTGAAAATGGACCAGAAAATGCCTCTGTGCATTTTATATCTTGACAGTAATCACTTCCAATATTCTGCAAGGGATACCCAAGAGAGCACCAGAGATGTTTGGTGGTGAACAGTAACACATAATCAGTCTTCGAGAAGACAGTAAAAATCAGTGATCTGTGGTGTCTTACATGCTCAAGTCAATTAAATATGATTAATGGCTACCTGTGAGAGACACATGAGCTCTGCTTTCCCTTAGGGAGAGAAAGGGACTGTATATATCAGCTTCCCCTCCTCCTTTATATTCATAGAGGAGGTCCTGCCTGGAGTGCCAGATTAGCTCCAGAAAATGCTTATGAATTGATAAGAAAGGAAAGAACACATTTTTGGAGTAGCAGCAAGAGAGGGTTAAAGGTCCCTTAAGTCTGGACCTTTCCCTTTTCCAAGGCATTTCCTTCCGGGGCAATCCCCTGAGCAGAATATCACATGGCAGATAATGCTTTCTTATGGTCTCTGTACCAGCAGCCTGGAAAATGGGATATTCCCTTGTTGTTTTCATGGGCAGTTGGATCAGTTTCAATCAAATCACATTCTGAGCCCTGTAATTTTGAACAACTGATGAGTGGGAAAAAATGCACCGCTTCCTGTTGGTGAGGAGTATTAATACAAATGAGAAAGGGATTGAATCTGGTTACATTCTACACAGAGAGATAAAGGTCAAAATGCATCAAAAATCAGCTGTAGGTTACAGGCATGAGGAAGAACACCTACCTGTGCAGGTGGAGCCTGTTGCACAAATCCCTGTGGTGAGGCGGGGGGCTGGAGGACCTGCTGGGAGATGGGAGGGCCAGAGCCTGAGAATCCTCCTGTAGGAAGCTGCTGGCCTGTAGAGGCGATGACATAGCTTGGCTGCTGGGCTGGCTGTGGCATAAGTGAGGACGGGTAGACAGGACCTGATGGGGGTTCAGTCTCCCCCGAGGACTGCCGGCTCAAGGTCATCTGGCCAAACTGTGTAGCCACATCGTCTCTCTGCAAGTCATGGAAATAAATGCGGACATTTGTGGGATCAGCATGGTAACAAGAGAGGAAGACACAGGACACATGTTTGGAGTTGCAGGAGAGAAGGGAAGTACAATTTGGAATAAAATAAAATAATTCTTTAGCCGGAACATAACAAGAGAAAAATTAATCATCCCAAGGGTCAGAGATGGCAAAAATTTTGATCCAAATCTTTCTCTTTCAATGGAAACAAATTCTTATTTTTTCCACTGAAAGCACAGGCTCCTCAGGATGGTGTTGCATACAAGGAAGTCTTGATATTCTGTCCTGAAGGGTCAGCTTGTCTTCCCAGCAGCAACCATAGACTCTGCCTCTGGAGAGCACCCAAAAGGCAGAACCACTCATACTCAGCACCCCCAGTGCTGCTGCAAAGATGGAGCCAGGACCTGTATCACCAATGGGCTGGGTGGGATTATATTCCTATATTAGGGAGTATTTGTCCACTGGCCTGATCTGAAATTTAAAAGCTTTCTTTCCTTCTCTTTCTTTCTTTCTTTCTTTCTTTCTTTCTTTCTTTCTTTCTTTCTTTCTTTCTTTCTTTCTTTCTTTCTTTTTCTTTCTCTTTCTTTCTTTCTTTCTTCTTTCTCTTTCTTCTTTCTCTCTTTCTTCTTTCTTTCTTCTCTCTCTCTCTCCCTCTCCCTCTCTTTCTTTTCTTCTTTCTTTCTTTCTTTTTTCCCCCAAGATGGAGTCTCACTCTTTTGTGAGGCTGGAGTGCAGTGGCATGATCTTGGCTCACTGCAAACTCCACTTCCCAGGTTCAAGTGACTCCCCTGCCTCAGTCTCCCAAGTAGCTGGGACTACAGGTGCACACTACCACACCCAGCTAATTTTTGCATTTTTAGTAGAGGTGGGATTTCACCATGATAGGCAGGCTGGTCTTGATCTCTTGACCTCATGATCCACCCAACTCAGCCTCCCAAAGTGCTGGGATTACAGGCGAGAGCCACTGCACCCGGCCACAATGCTCATTCTTTAAGCTGTTACTCAAAATGACCTAGTGAATTGAGGGGAATAAAAAATCAAAGAAAATTGGGAGATTTGAATCCTGGGGACACCTATATCATGAGCACAGGGTGATAATGGTTCTCATTCTAATACCATCTTTGAGATCTTCCTCAAACCCTCATGCCAAATTCCTGTATCTCTCTACTCCTGATTTCCAACTCTGAAGTCATTCACTTCCTGCTTAGCTGGTATACTCTTTTTTTTTTTTTTGAGATGGAGTTTCACTCTTGTTACCCAGGCTGGAGTGCAATGGCGTGACCTTGGCTCACTGCAACCTCTACCTCCTGGGTTCAGGCAATTCTCCTGCCTCAGCCTCCTGAGTAGCTGGGATTACAGGCACGCGCCACCATGCCCAGCTAATTTTTTGTATTTTTAGTAGAGACGGGGTTTCACCATGTTGACCAGGATGGTCGCAATCTCTTGACCTTGTGATCCACCCGCCTCGACCTCCCAAAGTGCTGGGATTACAGGCGTGAGGTATACTCTTAAAAGGGTACCAGACCACAGAAGCACTCAGCATGGGACAGACAGACGACAGAAAGAAAACCAGTGTTTTGCAGAGATGGGCTGTAAGATTAGAAATGAGGCACTCATACACACTCCCTCACAGTCAGCCCAGGGCACCCACCCAGTGTCAGCCAGTACCATGCAGAATAGTAGTAAAATCAGTGTACACACAATACAGTACCATGGGAAAGTGCTGCGCTGGAGACACAGGCAGGAGGTGCTGGGCAGGAAAAGAGACTGCTGGATATTGCACTGACTGGGAGGAAGCCTGCAGCCCCTGGACAGACAGGAGGAGAGAAAAAATTGATCAGGTAACAGAAAAGCACTGGGGCTGAAATCTCACGAGAAGCACACCCCTGTCCTTCATAGGCTCTCTGGGTTCTGTGCACTCCGGAGAGGGGAATCCGCCACCGAGGAAAAGGCAAGGCTCTGAAAGAAAGGAGCCAGACATTGTTGAGAGAGGCCCATTTGCACTTAGTGATGTTTTTAAGGAAGTTATTGATGTACATTTGATATTGTTGGCTACATCCTCTGGGTCTGAAAATATTGTCCCGAAACAAAGACATAATATCAAAAATGTAGAAAGAGTTTCACTCTGGCAGCCTACAGGTTTCTATTGACATGTCTTTGTGTCTTCCCAGCAAAGGAGGCTGGCAATGCATCTCTCTAAGGGGAGTTTGTAGGAACAGCCAGCCCTCCTTGGAATTGACTAATTTCTGCTCTTCCTATTGATGAAGAATTCAGTCCTGATTCATGGCAGACAAGAGCATTTGATCTGTGACAGGATTGGGGGAGAAAGATGACACAAACACCTGGAGTTCAGTCTCTGATAGAGGCTCCTCCATACATTAAAAAAAAAAAGACATTTAGACCAAAGGAAAAAGCTCATTTATTCTCCCTACTTTCATTCCTTCAACTTGCAAGTTACTGGATGGGGCACTCACCTCTATCTAAACTTAAGAATCCAGATAAAATCCTGTCAATCTGCAAAGAACTCTCTGCTGCCAGGTTTTATTTATGAGGCTTGAGTGGAAAATATACCCTTCTCCCTGATTCTCTGCTGCCCTGAGGACTATACAGCCTTCATCTCAGGGTACTTCCCTTCCCAGCCTTCCAACCAGCCCCTTACCTGAGTGACCAGAGGGCCTGACATCTGTGGCTGCGGTGGCTGGACCTGCTGCTGGGGCTGCGGGGAGGGCTGCTGCTGCGGCGGCTGCTGCTGGGACTGCCCCACCATGGCGCTTCGCAGGGGCTGCTGACTGGTGGGTGGGTTGTATATTGCAGGAGTTCCATCGGGATTCACAAAGGGCTGGCCTGCAACGGAGTCAGAGCTTAGTCCAGGCAAGCTTCTCAATCTCTCCTTTGGCATAAAGAACCGCTCCGATAGATACTCAAAACGTAACCTAAAGTCAAGGGGCAAGGCAGTGGAAATCTAAGACCCCCAAACCTACACCCATGTGAAGACCTTGCTGTTTGTAATCCAGCACTTAAGCTAGGTGACAGTGGGAGCCCATAGCAATTTAAGAAGCAGCAAATAAATCGACCACTGCAGGGAGCTTTGCCAAAGCTAAATGTATCTGTGGATGGAGGCACCAGTGGAGGGGCCTGTGGAGAAGCAATCTTCACAAAGCTAGATGTTTTCTGCCCAGCACCTCACAGCCATCTGCAAGATAACATACACTGAAGGATAAGGCTGCTTTCCAGTTACACACCTCCAGCTACGTGCAGTCACAAGTTATTTACCAATACATTTATTTTGCTTCTACTAAGCCTTGTCACCAATTCAGAATCGTTATCAGTCCTTCTAGTAAATATGCAATGTAACATAACACATACATTCACTCACTTCTAGGAAACAGACATAAGCAAGGACACACAGGGTTTTAGATTTTAAAAGTCGTGCATCACAGAATCATCTAGTAATGGAAAAGCTATTATACAGTCTTATGCCTTATGAAATAATGGCATGGTTTACTATTATTAATATTGCTATTCACCATAGCATCACTTTGTCTTTGAGGAGTATTTTACAGTTTACAAAATAGCATCGTTTGAGCCTCAACACAATTCCTGTGAGGAAGAAAGTTATCATTTTTCTGTTTTTCAGAAGAGAAAATAAAGCCTCATTCCTAGAATAACTATGGAAATAAAAAACTGAAAGAAGAGCGAAGTGCACTAAAGGAGGGGAAGAGGGAGAGTAAAGGAGAGAACAAACCCATTTTCCGTGTGGCGAGCACAGTGACGGACACCTTACGTGCATGATCTTAGCTCTCCTGACAACCTGCAGATATATAGTCTCATTTCCACTTTAGAGAAAAGAAAATTAGGATTCAGGGGGACCAAGCAACTTATTCAGAAATATAAAAAACAGTAAGTGAGACAAGGAGAAAGTGACCCTGGTCAGTAAGACGTCAAAGTCTATTCACTTTCCATTATGCCACATAACTAAAGTGAATTATCCAATCTTCCATAATGAGTACATGGAACAACTGGGCAACGATGAAAAAATAATCCAGTCATAACTGAAAACCATTAATCAATGCATGAGAAGTCAGAGGAGCTGAAGGACGTGTTTCAAGGTGAAACAATACCCAGTATTGGCAGATAAATACTGAGAAGCATCAGAACTTGAGGAAATGGATTGGCAAACTATTCATGGAACTACCTGTGAGACTTTTCTCCCTTTTCAGTAAATCCTGTAACCCTATTGGAAAAGGAGCAGTATGAATGTTTGTTCATAAGCTGAAGTCAGAGAAATATTCTCTAGAAGCCTGAGAAAATGCCTAGAAAGAACAGGGCTCCCAGGACGGGGTTGATATTTCAGTGGAAGGTCCTCCTCATATTGGCATAAGGGAGATGGTGGAGGCAGCATGCTGAGCTCCGCCCTAGCACGTATTCTAAAGCCTCTCAATCCATATGTTGTTCTGATACACAAGGCTTGCATGACCATTATTATCCAGGGTAAGAAGTGCATAATGAGGGCTGGGTGCGGTGGCTCATACCTGTAATCCCAGCACTTTGGGAGGCCGAGGTCGGTGGATCATGAGGTCAAGAGATCGAGACCATCCCGGTCAACATGGTGAAACCCCGTCTCTACTAAAAATACAAAAAATTAGCTGGGCATGGTGGCACGTGCCTGTAATCCCAGCTACCCAGGAGGCTGAGGCAGGAGAATTGCCTGAACCCAGGAGGCAGCGGTTGTGGTGAGCCAAGATCGCGCCATTGCACTCCAGCCTGGGTAACAAGAGCGAAACTCCATCTCAAAATAAAAAAAAGAAGAAGAAGTGCATAATGGCAGAGGAAATAACAAGAGTAGCCTTATTCTTCAATAATATAAATAAAGAACAACCAAGAATCATCAATCATATGAAAACATTTGCAACAAAAGGGAGCAAGGCATCAGGCACAGTGGCTCATGCCTATAATCTGTTGCATGCTATTCATACAAGAACAGTTTGTTATAACTTGGGAATTAAGCTAATTAACTAAGTGAATATTCTAAGTAAAGGAAATCAGTCACTTTGGGAGGCTGAAGTGGGCAGATCACTTGAGCTCAGGAGTTCAAGACCAGCCTGGGGAACAGGGCGAAACCCTGTGTCTACAGAAAACAATAATACAAAGTTAGCCTGACATGGTGGTGCACACCTCTGGTTCCATAGCAGGTTGAGGTAGGAGGGTCACTAGAGCCCAAGTTGAGGTTGCAGTGAGCCAAGGTCATGCCACTGTACTCCAGCCTGAGTGACAGAGTGAGACCAAAAGCAAGACAGGTGAAAAAAATCTAAAACCTGACCCAGGGGAAGGAAACATTCTAGTGAAAAAAGTACATATGCTATTCCTGCAATAACAGACTGTTATAACATGGGAACTAAGCTAATTAAGTGAATATTCTAAGTAAAGAAAATCAGTCACAAAAGGGCATCTACTGTGAAATCTCATTTATTACCTACAAGATCAGGCAAAACTAATCAACGGTAATAGAATTCAGAACAGTCGTACATCTGGGAGGGCATGAGGAAACCCACAGGAAGACTAGATATAGTTGAGGTCTCGTTCTGAGTCACGTTTACACAGATTTTCACATATGCAAAAATGTATTAAGGTCTGCACTTCAGATGTGTGCAGATCAGGCACTTCCCCTGTATATTGCGTAGCTCAATAAATTAAGCAAGTAAAGTGGAGCAAGTTGGGGAGGAAAGTGCTGAGATTGTAGGAAGGCCAAACAAAACGCTCAAGAGAGCAAAAGCCTTGACTTCAGCTCACTGAGGAATGGCAACCACAGGCTCGTATTCCCTATTATTCCCACAAAGTTTGAGTGCAAATATATGTGTGTGTTTGTGATGAGAAACTTTAAACGTTACATACTCAGAAACATACCTAAATTCTGATCACAGTTTCATAAACAACAATAATGTGCTGTGATGGGGAAGCAAATGTGCCAGAATTGTATTTGCAAAACAGCAACAAAATCAAGTGTTTGCTCTCACTCCCTCTTTTTTTTTTTTTATGTTCTTCATTTTCCAGGCACTTGTTTTCCTAACACATAGATGCATTTTATTGTTTTAAATTAATTTTCTTTTTGAAAAATAATTTTCTTCCAGCTTCAAAACTACAACCCATTTTCCCTCCCAAATCAGCAATTTGGGGAAAGATTTTTAAAAGCTCAATATTAAAAAATCTATCAGCTCATTTAGTGTTCTGATCTTTAGTTTTCCTGTGTTTTATTTGTTCTATATTTTAGAAAGACAAGAGAAAAATTCTAGGTAAACTTTTTGAAAAAAAAAATCACAGAGACAGTCATACAACTCCATTTGGAATTATTTCAAAATCAGTCTCATACACACACACACACACACACACACACACACACACACACACACACAATGTACATATACAATGAAAAGGAAAAAGAAAGGAGTTTTTCTATATTTCTGTATGGCTTTTGCTTTACTCCAATGAAAATTAAGGAAGTATAAAAAACTGACCATAACTAAAATTTTAAAACATAATCCCAAAAACATTCATGTGTCTTTTGATCAATTCTAGATCCTCCATTTGAAATATGATTAACATGCTGTGGGCTAGAAGAAGTTTCTAAATAATTGCACATAAAAAAACACTAAGGATTCACTTAAGTAGAGAGAGATGGCAGGTTCTTCTGGAAAGAGAAGAGAATATATGAAAGATGGATTTTTATGCTCACCAACAAGGAGAGATGGAAAGAACTGAGAAACATGAAAGAAGATGGATGCCAGAGAACAGAACAAAAGCAATTTCCTAAGAGACCCAGGATAGGTGACGGTTGCTTTCCAAGTCAGGCAATGACAGTCTCGCTATATTCTATGATTTCTACCAATCCAGATGCAATTACACTGAATACAAGCAATTAGTTTGAATGACAGCAGCTGAGGACTAAAGAGGAAAGAAGGACTGGCTGGCCCTCGGCCTAGTTAGCCTAGAGGCGGTTTTCATGTCAGAAACAGCACAAGCACGATCAGCAGGCCTTGGCATGGGTGCTGGCATAGGTGGAGAGAGTGCAATGACAGAAATAAGCCAGGGCACGTTAAATGCAGAGCAGGTGCAGAGAAAAGGATTAAATGCAGAATGCTATTCCTCTCAAGTATATGACATTAGGTGAAAAACTGCTCTACTATCCATATCAACGTGCATAATGGGTAGCAGATATTATTTCAATAAATCTAATTATTGAGCACCTGCACAACGCCTAAGACCTTGCCATCAATTTCAGGAAAGCACACAAAAAATTAAGCAAATTTAAAAAAACTAAGCATGGACCCTCCGGACAAGAAGCTTATATATACGTTAGTGACAAGGAAATGAACTAAAGGGCAGTTCACACAGGAAGTGAAGTCATCATATGATCTTGGTTTTTAACACCAAAGCATTTCTGTATTTACCCTTCTGTGAAGAAGGGTAACGATTTAAAAAGAAATAGTCACATTATAAGGGAGCTACTGATTTTGGATAGACAAGGATTGACTTAGACCTTGCAAAGATACATTTATAGACAGAATGCAAAATTCACGGTTCATTTAATTTTAAAAATGTGGAAACAGTTTGGATAAATAGATGCTAAAAGTCCTGATAAAAATTAAAAGTATAGTTATGGAAGTCTACAAGGAATATTTGAATGACAACAGACCCAAAAACTCATCAAGTGAAGTCTCTGCAAATGGCATGAACTTATACAACACAGTCTTAAACTTGCACCAGATAATGGCCAAGCAAAATGTCAAAATAATATATACGAACATTAACGAGTTATTGAGGGAGGCCAATGCCTATTGGCATTTCTGGATTGCACTGAGTTGAAGTAAAATAGCCCAACAAAACTGAGCTTTCTGCTAAAAATTTCCAAAAGAAGGCTGGGTCCAAGACAACTGGAGGAAGATCAAACCCAGGAGTCCAAGCTTGGCTTACAAGGATGAAGATGTTATACAGGGAAAACTTTGAAAAACTGCCTGTGTGGCACCTCACTCATCCAGATGCCTGAATAGCAGAGGAAGAATGAAAAAAGGTCTAAGTTAGAGATGGACCTGCTGAAAGCTGAGTCCGAGGCCAGACAAAATTAAAAGTTATGGTTATACTGGGGAAACTGCAAGGGTATATGTGAATGGGTTGATTTCAGTGTGCCAAATAGTTAGTTTTTAGTCAATTGTGCTAAGTACTTAGTCAATTGTGCCAACTTCCTTTGGAAGTTACATCTTTATTTCATTTGGTTGGCACATGATTGCCAGATACCTTAATATTTAAAAATCATTGCTTATCTTATTCTTGCTTAAAACAGATGTTTTATCAGTTGTAGTTTTTCACATGAGCCACATTTCAAATATATGGCATTAGCTGAAAAACTGCTCTGTTATCCATCCCACATATATAATGATTAGTAGATATTCCTTCAATAATGATATAATTATTGGGCACCTGCACAGTGCCTAAGACTTTTTTATCCATTCTGGGGAAGCAACAAATAAAATAACTAAGTATATGGCTCCTCTGCACAGAAGCTTGTAAGTATGTTGGTAACAAGGAAATGAACCCATGGGCACTACAAATGGGAAGAAAAATAGTCACATGATCTTGGTTCCTAACACCCAAGTATTTCTGTTGTGTACTTGGTAGAAAGGTACTTAAAAAAGGGTGAGAGGTGTACTTTCTAGATTCACAGCAATGACAGAAGGAGATGAGTTCCAGCCCAGAGGAGGCAAATTTTTAGTTTTGACAGTAAGAGATTTGATAAGTAGATACATGTACATATACACACATACACATACTATGGATACACCTATACATATAACATGCATTATGTATCATACATATGTGTACATACACATACATGTGTATATTTTCAATTTACAAAATAAGCATATTGTAGAAAAGAAGAAACATAATTCACCTTCTATCTCACTACTCAAGAATAGTATTCAATATATTCATACATTTTCTTTTGCTTTAGAATATTTTAAATATAGCATTTGTCAGATCAGAAAAGTATATATGGAGAAGCTGTTCAAAGTGTTATTAAATCCTTTTCCTTAGCTGGGATCCTTTTACAAAAGAGATATTTTGATAACAGCTCTAAATGACTCAGTCCAATGAATAAGAATTGGGACTTGGCATCGAACAACATTCTGTTTCTTTTTTCTATAAACAAGATTATAGATGATAATATACACATAACACATGCACGGCCCTGCTATCATTGCAAATAATATTCCTGCATTGTTCCCTAAAAAATACTCTGTTGAGCTTTTTCAAAACACTCTGTAATTTTGCTTAAACCGCTCAAAACAAGTGGTTAAAATGTGCTATTTTCTGCAAGCCCTCTATCTCAATTAAAAGCGAAAGCATTTAAGCCAACAAAGTCAAACAGAACTTTGAGTAGTGCCCAAAGTAATGAATATGATCCTGGTCTTCTTTTCGTGTTCTTTATAGTGCTTACAATAATCCAGATAAAATAAAAGCAATCCAAAAATCTTCCTTAGAAGTATCTAATCTGAAGCTTTCGAACAGTTTTCAGTAAAATGATTATGACTTTCTTCCCTCAAGCTTATGGCATTTTCAATATGTCTCAATCAAACACCACGACTTGGGAATGTGCCATATGTTTTATGAAAATGTGGCAATTATTCAAGTAACTATTTTACTACAGTTCTCATGTTTCTCTGAATTTCCTAATTACTAGTAGCACTATATTTGTGAGAAGATTGAATCAGATCATTTTTATGGGATACTTATCCAGTTATGCATTTTCAAGTTTAGCTTATTGAAGAAATAGTCTGGAATGGACTAAGCAAAACTTCAGATCTGTTTCAAGACAACTCCATTTATTGCCAGTCCCTAATAAAGACCTCTTAAGAAGTGATTCGTCAATGTCAAGCTTTCTAAGCCAGGCATTCTCAAACAGGGTACCACTGACGTTTTGAACTCGATAATCTTCTGCGTTGGAAGTCTGTCCTAGGCATTGGGGGATCTTTAGCAACATTTCTGGCCTCTGTCTATTGGGTGCTGATAGCAGTCCTCTTCTCCCCAAGTCATGATAATCAAAATGTCTCCAGATATTGCCAAATGGCCTTGGGGGCAGAGACAAAAATGCCCCTGGTTGAGAAGTCTCCTTCGCAAATCAGCAGATATTCCTGAGTTCATTTCCTGATGTTAGAATCTCAGTGCCCTCAGTCTTTTGAAATCAATGTGGAAGTTAAATGACCCACTCGAGAAATGCAAAATTGAAGAATCAATGACCATTCATCATGGAAGAAACTGTAATCACAGAGTGAACAATCTTCTAAACCCCACCAAAATCAGTCTAGGCCTGACATTTCTAAAGTACACTAGAATTTTCTCTCTGTATCCTCTTCACCACTGTTGTTTCTTATGCCCTTCACAGGAGCTGGCTGAAGTTCTAAGGTTAAAAAGCAACTTCGATGGTTGATGGTCACTATATGTCTCAATGGATACTTCAATTCCAGAATTATCCTTGGCTGCAAAAATACTTTTGACATAATATAGGCTGAGAATTTAGACTGAGGAACATGAAGTTTTAATTAGTATATCCCAGCTTATCGCCATGTCCTCTCATCTTAGCTCCTAAGCATTCATCAGAGACATTGTAGTAAAAGGAAAAAGACAAAGCAAAAAGTAGATGCTTCTGAAAATATCTATATCAATATCAATATTGATATGAAGATATAGATATGTAGGTATAGATACTGCTATAAATCTGCTCTTTCTAAACAAAAATGCTTCACAACAGTTCATGCAACTAGCTTTCCTGTTCAGGAATCTTCAGAACATTTGCTAGCAAATTCGTAAGATCAAACATAAGAACAAACTCCTGAAAGCCTTGTGTTCCTGATAAAGCAGGTAGTAACTCACCTGTGTGTGGATTAAGAAGGATGCTTCCAGGCGGGATGCCTGTTGCAGCTTCAAGTGGAAGAAGGATGTAGCTGGTGCTGCTGGGAGCGACCTGGCCCCCTATTCCATTCTCTGGATAAGGCACACAGCCTGGAGAACCAGCTGCCACGCCTGAGACCAGGGGTGTGCTCTGGAGAGGTGGATGGGTGCGGGACAGCGATCCTGAGGAGCCTGCGCTGCTGGAAGACTCCGAACCTGGCATAGGGAAACGATCAACAAATCATTCACACACACAGAAGAGAGAAAGCACCAATCTGCGTCTAAATGCTTGCTTTTCTGTGACGAATCATTAATGAATTTGAGACGCATGCTGTAGAATGAGATTAACTAATGCCCCTCCCCTATTTTGGCCTCATATTTTATTGAAATATTTGCTACATGTTTTTCAGATGTGTCAATTTTCTGGGAAAACAGGAATTAAGAATGAGAACTTTCTCAGCCTTTTCACAAATTACTAGGGTGATAAATTGGTAAAGGGTACCCTAAAGTTCTGAACTCAGTACCTGAAAACTCCCTCCTACATTTCCAAGTAATTAGTACCATGGAAATGTCTTACTAAGCTGCAATAATAGGAATAAAATGACTGGGATGGAGGTTAAAGACTGCACCTTAAGGAAAGGCCCTGTGATATGCAGGTCATGTGCATGGTTCTAAAGTACTGGTTCTCCAACACCTATACAGCTGAAGTCTGAAGGGGTCTAGTCACAAACAATCTTTCACCTTCATGTGTGAGTAGAAGACCTGGGAGCATAGCGTATATGAGCAAACACATTTCAAAATCTAATCGGATCTCTTTAAAAGAGTGGCATGATATAGGAGAATGTGTGAAGGATTGAATGTCAGGGAGACACAAATGAATCAGGGCTTTTTCTAACCATCTGACCAGAGGCAACTAAAAACCATTGGATGTTATAATTTTTGTGTGTAAAGTTGAAACTTTAGATATTAAGGATTTTAAAAACAAATAAAAGATGCGGCCAGGTGTGGTGGCTCACACTTGTAATCCCAGCATTTCGGGAGGCTGAGGTGGGTGGATCACAAGGTCAGGAGATCAAGACCATCCTGGCTAACACAGTGAAACCCATCTCTACTAAAAATACAAAATGTGGTATGTGCCTGTAGTCCCAGCTGCTTGGGAGGCTGAGGCAGGAGAATCGCTTGAACCTGGGAGGCAGAGGTTGCAGTGAGCCATGATCACACCACTGTACTCCAGCCTGGGTGACAGAGCAAGACTCCATCTAAAAAAATAATAATTAAAAAAAGATGCAAGGAATCAAATAGATAGTGGGCAATATTACTATTAATGTAATAAATTTAAGTGTTGATGGTACTGTACTGAATTCTGCATATTTGAAGAAGTCTTATTAATATGGTTAAAGTGTAGGCCAAAGAGGGCTTGGCCTTATAATGACTGAATATCCTTTAGATGACATAGAATAGTAAAATAATCATGATGTTTATGGATTCCAAATTTTTCAGACACATAGATAACCCGGAATAATGTGCAGAAGCCCCGAAGGTGAATCTAACAATCTCTTCTGTCCCACCATTATGAACAAAAAGAGAAACATATCCCAATATGTCCATTGGCACTCACTGGCATTTCACTGCAGCAAGAGCCAAGCAGCCCCAGTACCCTTAACCATGGCTCTCCTGGGCACTAGGTATTAACCAGAGCAGCCAAGAGAAAACACACTAAGTAAAATTTATACTACTGCAAATTCAAACTAATAGATTACTTGGGTAATATAGGTTGCAAGAATGTCATACACGAGGTTGATTAAATCATCAGCATACACCATTGATTATGTCATTAAAAATGCATTCCCATGTATCATTAAAGTCAAAATACGCAATCAGTTATTAACACTCCTCTCAAAAGATTCTAAAATATGCCCTTAAATTAAACTGGAGATCTTTTAGAATAAGTGATAGGAATATAACATTTAAGTGCAGGGAAGAGGGGCATTTGGAGAGCATGATAATTTTGAGAAGAATAATAATATTTACTGGGCACTTAGTATGTGTAAGCACTTGAAGAAACACTCAAATAATAACTGTTACTGCCTGTTCAGAAACTGAAATATTAGAAAGTTAGGTAACTCAGGTCAGCTCATACAGCTAGATAATGGCAGAGCTGGAATTTGGTCCATGCAGACTTATCTATAGCTCAGGCTTTAACTGTGATCCCATATTGCTTCTTGAAATTGTACATATGCATATACCATGACCTGTCACAAGTGTTCTGGTGTTCTCAGTTGGGCATCTTTACTGCTTTCCCCGTGACTTGATGATTAATAATGATAGTTTTATGTCAATTCGGGATGCTCCATCCAAGTGGTTTAGAATGCTAATGGGGTTCTGAATAAGGCATGGGGATAAAAATAAAAATATGTAAAAAGAATATTGAAAATGCTAATAGAAGTTTTGAGACTATGTCACTGAAATTATGACTCTGTGATCATAGTCTCAATGCAGACCGTAGTGTTTGTTTATGGACCTGCTGTGTGTAATTTGATGCTACGTTACACATTTGACTCTAGAGTCGACAGCAGTAGCAAAACTCTTGTACCCAGGAATTTAAGGTTATATAAACATAATTCAGCTCATCTCGACTGTGGGACTAGACACTGAAGAAAGAGTTGGGGCTAAAGAAGTGCATCCTAATTCGGATTTGAGCTGTAAGCTAGTGATGGCATGCGTGTGTGTGTTGGGAGGGGTGGGTTGATGCAGACAGACTGAAGTGTCACAATCAAATCCAAAGAGTAATTTAATTTTGGTTTTAGAAGGATGGTCATTAATTACTGATTTACAATATTATACCCTTCCCTCACCTGGGGGAACAGAAGCAGCATCAATAGGAGAAATGAGGAGGCAATGCAAATGGTTTGATTCCACAGGTAAAAGGAAGGAAGAAAACCTCAATTTGGCTCAAATTCTCTGCACTCGATAAGAAGAAAATAAAGTCAAACCTCTCCAAACGGATGGCTCAGCAATCAATATGCAGCCAGGATTTAGTAACTGGCCTTTCTGATTGGCTTATAACCAGCTTTGACCAGCACGCAAACATCAATTATGAAGGCCACAAAGAGCCATATTCCACACATAGCCAGGGTGGCTAAAGTCTGTGATAAAACACAAATGCTAATGATGGTATTAAAAGACACAGGATTAGAAGTGTTCAAATAGTTTTTAAACAATGAAATTGATATTTGAGAACTTTTAAGATTTACAATGCCTGAGAGTTAAAAGTATTTCTGGTTTCCTTTTTTTAGAGGTTTGATAACTATAACAAATATTTATACAGTATGCATATGTGACAAGCACTGTGCTACTTTCTCTATGTGAATTGTCTAATCTAATTTTTACAGTAGCAACATTTTGAAGATGAGAACTGATCTTCAGACATGTTAAATACATTTCCCAAAGCTCACTGTGTGGTAGAATCTGAGCTCAAACCCAGGCAACCTGATGCCACAGATGGCTCTTTGAGCCTGTGGGTCATGTTCATCTTCTCTGCATTTAAGCAATGCCCAGGTGGGGCCAGGGCCCTGACCAAGCCTGTGTGAAGTTCTAGGAGATACTAGATAGAAATTCCATGCTAGACACAGTGGGATGCTCAGAAACCAAAGCAGAATTCCAAGGGGTAGCCACAGAGAGGAGAAAAAAGAAGACATCTGAGTGGCCAGGTGAGAGACTCAGGTGAACCCTCCAGAGAAAAACAGAAAAACAAAAATGGAAAACATGACACAAGATAGAAAAAGAGATCACAAGGCAAGACAAAATGAAACACCAGGAGAGGAAGGGCAGAAGGGACGGGCTTAGGCAGATTCCCTTGGAGCAGATAGAACTTTCCCCAGGAAGGAAGGATGCTGGGTTTTAATTCTAGTTCTGCCACTTACTGGCTGTGTTTTCTTCATGTAGTGACAACTTTAGACCTCAATATCCTCTTGTAAACTATAAGGTACCAGACTAAATGGGGAGCAACGGTAAGGAAGATGACCTTAATGTTCCCCTCAGCTTGACCAAACTTTTCACTGTTTTCTTAGGCTCGGACCTCCTCACCTCCCTTTCCTTAGAGCATTTATGCCCCTTTGAGGTGTAAATCTCCTAGCCTTTAGCCACTTTTACAACCCAGGAAGAACTTTCCCAAGCACCTGAAAGCCATCTGTTTGAAATCTAATCATCATGAAGAATAGAGCCCCTATCTCTCAGTTTCCGTGGGAGGATAGGAGCCTAACTTTCACAGCAGCAGTTAGCAAACAGATACAGCCTCATCACACACTCAATTTCCTCTATAATGTCCTCCAAAATTTTACCACTGGCTCGCCCAGTGATTGAAGACTCCTGCTTTTTGATTCAGTGTAATTCAGTTCTCGCTCTAAAAAGAGAGATCGTAGTCTTGATCCTTGCTGCAATAATAATGAATAAATTCTTCTTCCTGCACCATCTGGTACAATTTTTCTTTTACAAGGACCAGAAATCATAAAGGTTTTATTTCTGAATTATATAATTTAAGAAAACATTTCCAGATTCAGGGGGGGTCAGGGTTCAGTGGAAGAACTTAAAGCTTCCAAAATTACAAGAAGGAAGAGAATATCCAGTATGTATTATATTAGTGTAGTAACAAAGATAGAGACAAAGAAGAGGACATGGTAGAAACATGAGGTGTCTTGGATTGGATCAAAAATGCTCCAGGATGTATGCAAGGATGTGACAATAGCAAGAATAGCCTTGCATCCAGAAAACGATGAGCCAGAACACCTAAAATTGTTAAAACAAACAAAAGGACATCTTATTTCTTCAGAGCAGTTGTGTTTGAAATGTGGTTCCCAGACAAGCAGCATTGGCATTAACTGGGAACTTGTTGGAAATGCAAATTCTCAGGCCCATCCCAGCCCTAGGTGCTCAGAAACCCTAGATTCAGTGCTGCAATCTGGTTTTTAAGGAATCCCTTGGGTGATTCTGATGGAGCTAAAGTTGACAAACCCTGCTTTGAAAATCAAGATGGCGGAACAATAGTAGCAGCATAGATAGGCCAATGGGGGATACTCTTATTTCTCAACCACATTGCTCTTAACAAGAAGCAGGTGAGGTTGCTGCGCAGTTATCATTCAACTGCTTTTAGTAAGGAGGATACAATGGCATCACCTGCCTCCAGAAATGTGTGCTGGGCATCTGGTAGGCAGCCCAGGCCTCAAGAGCATGTGCTTGTACATTCGTACTTAAGTAATACGTTTCCTTCCAAAATGTCGGAAAACGTGTTTCCAACGTTGAAAAAGTCTCATCATCATCTATTTAAAGCTAGAATCTGTGTAATTAGAGGAGGAGAAGAGTAACTTAAATGTCACAACTCCAGACTTGGTTTCTAAAAGGTCATCAAAAAAAGTTTGCAATTCCACTGTGAACAATTAGGCAAAAAACGGAAAACTTGTGCTGCTCTGAAGCCCCATGACAGCAAAACTGACAGCTTTGCTTCATAAATCCATCTTGGGAAATCGTAAGTTTGTTTTGACATCCTACCTTGATCTTCTTTAAGTTTTTATTCCCTTTCCATGCCTGCACTTTGACAAGCTTTCAAATGGAGACACTTAGATTAAAAGAAAAAAAAGTCTGAAGCACTTATAATCTCTAATCATTCTTCGAAGAACACGGCATTATAACAGTTTTGAAGTGTTTTAAATGTTTCCAAAGAGCTTTGCTTTGGAAGTGACTGGGGGCTGGTGCATGGAGAATGACTATTAATTTAAAAATCTTAAGAGCTCTTTCGGTGTGCTGGAGTTTTTAAGTGCACCATTTAAAATACTTGGTTTTCACATTTTAAGGAGATTTGAAACTATTAAACCTTTCTTAGTTTACAAGAGCTCAAGTGCACCACAGTGGATTTTCTTTACTTCAGTTGCTACAATAGTAGGATATGAGAGCAATTAATTAAAGTAAGAAATCAAGAACTCACCAATTAGTGAATAAAAATTGCAGGAAGGCAGTGTGAGCCCATCTGAATCGTACCAAGAAGTAGGGTCTGTGCATTATGTAGGGGCTGTAACTAAATGCTATTAATTTTCTCCTTATATAGAAAAACATGAGATAATTTTTAGGAGGAATTTGTCAACAACCTCATTATGTTAAACCATCAGCAAATGAACCCAGATATTTGCATGGAGGTGTGGGACCCCTTGGCCCTAACAAGAGTGTAAAAGTTGATTGGGAAAATATCCACAGTCCAGGGCAGCCTGTGTCTAAACTCTTAAGGACTATTCTCTATTCATCATCCCACTCCTGCCTTGGCCTGCCACTCACCTGTCCCTTCAGGATCCTGAATGCTCCACCTGTACAATCTGACACCCAGAGCATACGATGGATTCACAACTCTCAACGACCCACCCCACCCAAGCAAGTGTCAGGGAATTTGATTTTCCAGGGCAGAACCAAAACAAAGCAAAAACAATTACATAACAAAAATCACAAACTTCAGTTAATGGAAAGCTAGTGAACGGTCATTTGTCCCCTCCCTGAGATTTTAGGAGGTATTTTAATTGTGAAGATTTGAAAATAATTCAAAAACAATAGTAAATAATCTTTGGGAGACAGAAGAGCTAGAAATGGCAGACCATGAGGGTATTTGGCAGACTCATGTAAGCACCATGGTATATGCTTCCATCAGTTTAAAGTTGTTTCAAGTTAACGGCTCTCCTGGATCTCTCATTATCACTCACCTTCCAGACCTTTCATGCAAACTGGAACTACCTACCTCAGAATATCATTATTTGCTTCACTTTGCAAAAAAAGACACAAGCACCTGGTAACTTGGAAACTCTAAATCTCTCTGACCCTCACTTGTCTTATCTGCAAAGCAGGGATAAAAACATTATATGGCAATAATAAAAATGAATTAGAACTAGAGTTTATTGGGAGTTTATAACTTGCCAGATGTTAATCAAGTTGATTTTTGTATACTGACTCTTTTAGTCTTCATAATATTTCTACAATATAGGTACTATTATTATTTCTGTTTATCAGATGAAGGAAACAGAGGCACACAACAGTTGAAAACCATGCCCAGGATCATATTAACAGCATCTCAATGCAAGAACAAAAGCTACTAATATTATAATTATCATACAGTGTGTTTTTAAGGAATAATTCATATTACTAAATTTAAAAGCAATAGCAAACTTCTGCCAGTTTCTGTGATGCAGGTGCCATGGTAATCATTTTTACGTAAGTAATGTAATTTAAACTTAAGTTTACTGAGTAAACTTAAATTAAGTAAGTAAACTCAAGTATTTAAGTAAGTAAACTCTAAGTCTACTGAGGTGGGTTTGGATTATATTATATAAGCTGCATTTTACAGATGAGAAAATTGAAGCTTGGAGAGGTTAATAACTTGACCTAGGCATACAGCTGGCAAGAGGCAGTAACCTATTTACATTGCACCTTCTGACTTCCAGCTGTCCCTGTAATTAATATCATCATTATCAGCCAACTCAAAGTCAGAGGGAATGGTGACCATATGGCTTGGACAGAATCCGAAAAATACCACAGGACATAAACACATTCAGTACTAACTACCTGCTTTGGACAGCTTCCCGGTACTCCTGGTACTAGAAGTGCTGTCACCCCTGGTCAGCACCGTGATGCCCCCAAAACTCGCCGTCTTGGTCATGGCGGGCTTCAGATTGCGGTTGGAACTGTCAGAGTCTGTGCTGCTCCAGGCCCTCTGGTGATCAGACCACTTGAGTTCATTTTCTGAGCTGCTCTGTCGACTCCCGGATGTTCTCCCTGAGCCATCTCTGTTGCCCCTGGAGCACAGCCACCAGACAGATGCAAAGGGACAGGATTACCTTACCTGAATGGTGTGGTACAGAGCAAGCCTTTCTTTGGAAGAGGCATCCACACAAGACTCTTCCTGCCAACCATTTTCATTAAACCAGCTGCCTCCCAGTGTTACAAATACTTTGATGATATATAGACCAGGTAACACAGCACACATAACACACAGGTTACAAACAGAAAAACCAAACCTAGAAATGTCACATGATCCCTCTGTCGGTGAAGGAGAAACAACTAGAAAAACGTGGTATAAAATGTAGTTGTTAATTTCTCTTGCAAAGAGAATAGGGAGATAAGTTCTCCTGACTCAAATCAATAAACGATGAATGTTCAGAAACAATTATGATTTTAAATGATTCTAAAAGTAACTCCCGCCAAAGAAGACTTTATCTCTCTTTTTAGCACAGAATAATTGTCAATGGAAAAATGCACACATATCCAGAGAAGCTGTTAATTCATGTTCCAGCTTTATGAAATATACATCGGAAATCACCAAGGCTTTGACAGATAGCATAGAAATCACAGAAATTACTCTATTAACCTATGGTAAGAATTTTGTCCACTGAGTTTAATTTTGTCCACCGAGTTTAACCTTCATGGTCAGAGGAAAGAGCCCTTTAATTCTTTTCACTTAGAAAAACTTTTGAAAGTAACAATAGTGTAAACACTATACACTGACACAAAACTTTCCAAAGGGAACAATGGAAATAACAAAAAAACCTCCCCAGGTGAAAGAACACATTTGTTCAAACTTCAAATGGAAAAAAGAGTAAATGTATTGGAAGAGATCCAATAACCACAAGTGAATTTTGAAGACCCCAGAGTATCTCTAAGAAGTATGCAAAATTGCATGTATTTTATAGAGAAATTTGATGAAATTTGCATTTTCATTGGTTTCCAATCTATCTAAAGCATAACTTTGTTAATATTTTAAAAGATCTTCTGAAGATAAAAATAATGCATTAGTAAAATACCTTAAAATTTTAATGGATTATAAATAAGTGAAGGGAACATAAATTATGATCAGTAAATATAACACCTAATTTATATTAGCAATGTGACATATTTAAGCCTTGATTCAAATCTCAGAAATGTGACTGGTAGCTTCATTGAAAACTATTTTAAAGACAACAATGTGCTGTTGAGATGTCTGAAGTGCACATATCTGATTGAAATACTCACCAGCAAAACTGTACAGACAGTACAAAGAAAATGTTAAGTGTTGCTTTAACTTTACTCACAAAACTTTTTCTTTTATTTCAGGAAAACATAAGAAGGTAAATGGATACAAGAGATTAAAATGAAATAGCTGATTTGTGACAGGAACTTTGTAAAGCAAAGGGAGGAAGGGGTACAGAATATTGACAAAACAAGCCCTTTCGAGTGGAAGATTAGATGAAAATTCTCAGTGCCCTGCCATATTCTATTAACATTTTACAGACATTCTGTTCTCAGTACCACATAGATGGCTGGTTTTAGAAATAAGAACCACCTGATGAAAACCAAGTTGTAGGTATGACCGACCAGACCTTCACCAATGACCAGGTGGCTTTATCTCTTAAACTCCTCTGAAATTCAAGAAAGCCATGGGAGATAGAGTGGAGAAATAAATAGCCTTTTCAAGGGCTTGGTGTTCTATTTCTGACTGACTTCTTTTTAAATCTCCAGATTCAAATTCATTCTTCTCCCATATAACCTTGATTATGTTACCTATCTTTTACAAAGTCTAGCAAAATCATTATTCAACAACTGTGAATGCACCAGAAATGTGACAATAATCTCATTTGCAGCTGATTTGAAATATTTATTACAGAAAAACACTGGCTTAACGATTTGGGAGTGGTGCTTAGCCTCAGAGTACTGGATGCATGAGATGGAAGCTCTCCATATGAGGGTGATCCCTTGTTCCCATTACTAATTCTGCTTCAATTATCTCTTTAGCCATGACCTCTGCACCTCTGTGACAAGAATCCAGACTTTCTCTAAATGCCAGTATGACTGAGCCTTTTGGGTAAAGAAGGTGGCCACCACTATTTCTGGTAGAGCTATTTTTAGAGCTATAAGAAGTTCCTTTAGACTCACGCCACATCCCCTGGTCAATAAGGTAACCTAAGATGTATTTAACGTCTCTACCTCTACCTCACTAGCTCAAATCACGGTCCTGAACCATAATCTGTGCATTTTAAAAAGAAAGAAATTAAGTGCTGATTTAGGGAATCAGCATTGAGATTCAAAAATAATATATAATTCAAATTTATGATTCCTAGGTATTTATACATTAAAACATATTTTGTATTTCTCTGTTTTAGACTGCACTAGCACCTTAACAGTGGTGAGGTGAGGTCCAGTATTGAATTCCAAATCTGTTTGGGCCTGGGGTAATAGGCATTGTAGAAAACCACATGTACACGTGTCTTTCCTTCCCTCCCAAGCCCAGTCTTTGTCCTCTCCTACTGGAAACCAGGAAGACAATAGTAATGAGATATCTGGTCATTGGAACTGGCCCTCTTATAAGTAACTAGGAATTGATCCCAAGATAGAGTTCTAAAGCATATATTTTAAGCTCTGTTTCTGTGCTGATTTATATAACTGTAAATATTTATTTTTCTTTATGTCTAAATGTGTGGGGTTTTTTTTTGGTTTGTTTCTGGTTTTGCACAGGTTAGGGATGGTATACACATTGAACTGCTTTTACAATTGTGTGAATGGTTTTGTGTTAAGTTGCTTCCCTGAGTTTCTGCGCTTGGTGATTTTGGCGAGTGATGAAATTCTGTTTGGGTTAAGTATATGGTAGCTCTGTCTTGGGGCAGATTTGAGATTATATGTAACTAACTGGCCTCTAGAGGACAAGGACCTATGTTTTATCTATATTGGCCTAAGCAAACTAGGTCATAATGTGTGAGTGCAGGACTCAAGGTAAATTTTAGCTCTTTTCTGAGTTTTCAAGAGAAGTGCAGGGCTACTTTCTTAAATCTTCAAGTGTGAAGAAGAAAATTAATTGTCTGACGGTACATATAGACTTCATAGACTGCATAGTTCACTATGGAAAAATGAAGGATGTCCAAAAAGAAGCTTCTGTTTTTTGCTTCAATCAAAGTGTAAGATAATAAATTAACTTTACTCATAATGAGTTCTAAAGCCCAGATTTATTGAAAAAGTGTATTTTTTCAACATTCAATTCATCGCTATTCTTAAATTTTCTTTATTTTAAGTGGGTTAGTGTTTTGTTGTTGTTGTCATTCCTACAACAGAGATAAATCCTAGATTTATAAACACATTAACACATTAAATATGTATATTGGATACTGAGTATACTCATAGTACTGTGTACACTTTGCTCTACAATGGATGTCCAATATACACTGAGTTGAGCAGTGAGAAAATGGGTTTGGTCCCTCTGCTTTCATAGAGCTTCTAGCCTAGTCTAGAACTTTTAAAAAGTTATCACTCTTTCCTCTTATCCCACACAGATTTTAATTTATGTAGTTCATTATAATTGGAAGGAACCTCGTAGCTCTCTTTACAAATAAAATTCACCCTTGAAAACATACCATTGAAAAATTATAACAGATAAAATTAAAAATTAGTTACCCAAATATGGCTATCACTGATTTATTTCCCAGTGTTGAAAATGTATGTACAGTTGCAATCTGTCAGAGAGAATTTAAATTATTCAGTGTAATACACTGAAGGTAATTTGAGAAAGTTAAAGCAGTGTGCTACGAAAGTTAGCCCCAGAAAAACAGAAAACTAGAACCCTAAAGAATTATACACAAAGTGATAGATTTCCAGTTGTGTACCTTATACTACCAAATATAATTTAAATACTGGCTATGTAACAAGATTTACAAAGAGGTAACTAGACATTTTTTGAATAAACAGAAATATTTTACACAAGTACACTAGTATTTAACATTGATTCTACCACAAAATCGGAAAAAACACAGTTTCAAGAAAGTAAACCATACGAACCGAAAGAGCTGTCTTTTCTTATAGGTTTCATTGCATATGTTACTGTCTTCCAAGAGCCTACTGGAAATGAAAAAGATGATTTTTATGATATAAAATCTAAGGTACTAAATGCCCTATGTTAAATGAATGTGCACTCTACTATTGCACATCTTTCTTGTAAATCAATACACACAACGTTTTATTTACATGATGTTGAATTTTGCCATAATGAATTAATGGCAGTAAAATAGGATTAAGATTTCTATGCTAGGATTAGAGCACTGATGCTAGGTAAGGGGGAAAGAAGAAAAGAGGAAGTAGAGGGAATAGAAGAGGAGAAGAGAATAAAAGAGATTGATATAGATATAATAGAGATTTAATTAAATATATTAGTTGTGATTTTTAGGGTAATATATTAAAACTATTCTTCATATTTTGGCATAATGAAATATTGGCATTCCAGAGGCAGGTATCCAAGAAATATATTTCTATTTGGAAGGAGGGTACTTAAGTAGATTTTTGGTTTGGGGAACCATCAAGACCTGTTAACATATGTAGTACATATATGTGACCAATTATTGTAATGTTGCATATAATCCAACTTCAGTATAAGGGACACTTAAGTGTAAAGGAATAAGATTACGGAAAATGATTGGCTAGAAGACTAGAGAATAAGGTTTCCCATGAATCTGAATTGTACATGCTCACTTAATTTTTTTGGCAAAGATAGAGAATTTTGGAATCCTTTAGAATCACCTGCAAGATGTCAATGCTTATGGATTCTTGGTTTTACTGTAAATAGGGAATATTTGTCTAAATATACATGGACTTTGAAGTTGGTTTTGGATCCCATTTATGAGTTTCTCAATTTTGTTTCTTCTTTTAAAAGAGGTTATTCCACTAAGGGGTTTAGTCATGTTTCTTGAAGATTTCCAACTGCAATTATGAATGATGCAAAATTTTAAGCCAATCATCTTTAATGCCCAGCTTAAATCTCTGAGTACTAGCATTTAATCAAACAGTCTTCATTTTAATCAATGGTATAGGAATGCCCATTAAGCAAACCCCTGAAATAAAATTAACCGCCACTTTATTTATATATACCATATTTTCAGATCAAGGTATCCATTTTGATGCCTCTTAAATGTGATTAGTGCAGTTAATGTGGATTCCTTAATTTGCCCTGAGTATTTGCAATTAAATCAATGGGGTATTTTAATATATGTGTCAATTTAAGAATGATTTTTGAAGGCTGCATATACATTTGAAAACTTTTTGCTCTTATCTCCAAGATTCTCTATAAATTTTATAACTCATTCATTTCATAACAACTACCTACCCCTACTAACTCCTATGCCAGGTACACTGCTAAATCTAGGCCAGTTTAGATCATGTTTTCAAGGCCAAGTCTTTTATGAAGACTAATAAATTGTTTAGAATTTAAAAACCTGAAACAAGATTATTCCAATTATTATTTTTACAGCTATATGTTATTATGGGCACAAGAAATGGCCGATAATACCAAATATATGCATGCATCTAGCAGACTCCCAAACAAGCCAATGAAACTGCAACTTCCTGTGATGTCTCAATATTTATTATTCTTAATGCCAGGTGAAGGAAATAGGAATTATACCTTTGCAAGGACCAGAAATTGAGACTTTAAATAAGAAAAATGTTTACAATTCTGCTCGGAATTAACAGAGAAAGTTTTTCCAAATTAGGTCATTTTTAGATGTGTTAAATAACATATATGTGTGAATATATATATGTGTACACATTGATATATGTATTTGCTAATACATATATTCAAGCACACACATACATAGCATATATATTTATGAATATACAGGACACACATGACAGACGTTGTTCATCTAAAGACATGAAAAAGTAAATTTTATTTTACCTGTTTTCCACAAAAAGGCTTTCCTGGGAGCAAACTGACTGAAAAATAAAAAAAGGCATTGGATCAGACGTTCTGGATATGCTGAGGGATCCCAAATACTTGCCTGATTTTAAAGCTAATTTTCCCTCATGGGGGAAAAGAATAAAAAAGAATATGTACAGAAGATAGAAATAAAAAAGGAAAAAGGTAGGTTAGGATTAGAAAAGTAAATAATCTCATGCGGCATAGGGTGTGTTTCCTTCAGAGCATCTCCAGGTTTTAGATTTAGTCTGTTTGGCATGGAGGTCAGAAGAAGAGAAATGTGAATGAGACTGCTGGAGAAACGTGTGGCCATCGGATTCTGAGCTAGTGGTTTCTTCTGGAGCTGCACAGGTGCAGCCTCCAACAAAAGCCAAGGAAAAGGGTTCAAATCAAGGCAAAGCATGCAAACTCCATAGGATCCACCTAAGAATGGGAGAGCCATCAAGCCACATTCCTGAAATTATTACCTGGTATGGACAAACTCTCATGAGAGAAAGAGATTGACTGCAAGACTCTCAACATTGAAGAAATGCCATCAATTATTAATTTTAAGTAAAAGGGGAAAGGCAGAAGACCAGTGAAGATGAAAATAAGCTAATTAAAAAAAAATCAAGCTCCATCTAATATTTCCCAGTTTTTCACATAGAAAAATCAATGACTTTCTTCTTAGCTTCTATTCACCGAGCATTCATTTCTTTCTTATCTTGTGTTTAATGCACAATGTAGGGAGGATAAAATTCCATTACCATGACATCCTGAGGAAAGGGGGATCAAATTAAACATAAACAAATAGAAAAGAGAAGTCTGGACTAAGATACGATGCTGTGGTCTGCAACAGGGTGACGGTATTTAGGAAGTAACACAAAACCATTTCCAAAGTACTTAAGTTTTTAAACATAAATAAATACACATCTTGTTATATGCATAGATTTTCAAAATGATGGATAATTGACTTGTTAAAGGGATAAGTAGAGACTTAACAGGTGAATTTTAAGATAAAACAAAGCTAAAGAAGCAATAATAACCATTTAATAACCAATTATTGACTTAAAAGATCCTGCTAATGTAACCTGAAAGGCAAGCAGAATATTGATTTCTATTTTCATTTTTCTAGAGAAATAATTTCCTTCCACTAAGTCAAAGGGCTAGATATCGGCATGGTGTTTCCCTCAGTGTTGTGAGAATTGCAGTGATGGCATCTCTAAGGTTTACGCTTATCCTTTCTGCGCTTAATGTGCATCCTGAATTTCAAGTGTGTAAAAACTTTATTTAACAAAAAGCAAAAAGAGCCAATTAAAAGACCAAGTTTTTCAGGAAATAGCTTTTTGAAAAAAACTTGACATATATAAAAATATATTTATATATGTCGTTTTCTTCTTTCATATACATATATGAAAGGAAAACAAACATAAATGATGGGCCATAGACATTCCTATGAAGGGCTCTTTACGGTACACTGAATATCCTAACTTCTTTTATTTCCTTTAATTTGGTTTTACTGTTGGCTGGAGTCAAGTAATGGTATGTAAAAGAAAGTGAGGTTAGCTCAGATATACATTATGAGTTCATACGTTGCTACTTAGCTCTAATAGTTGGAAAGAGGTTGATTGCGTTTATAATGTTTTGTCTGGGTATTGAAATTATTGAGACGCTATTTCTCTGAAGGAGTTAATTAAGGATATAGTGACCTCTTCAGATTGAATCTAATAGCATTTGGGGGAAAGTTAAGAACCCCAAATTCTGTATTAAAAAGTAACACACCAGCAAGTCAAGATACCTTGCCCAGGCTGCAGTGGTGGCTCACACTTGCAATCCCAGCACATTGGGGAAGCCAAGGCAGGCAGATTGCTTGACCTCAGGAGTTCAAGACCAGCCTGAGCAACATGGTGAAACCCTGTCTCTACAAAAAATATAAAAATTGGCGGGGCATGGTGGTGCACACCTGTGGTTCCACCTATCAGGAGACTGAGGTGGGAGAATCACTTGAGCCCAGAATTCGGAGGTTCCAGTGAGCTGAGATCACACCACTGCACTCCAACCTAGGCAACAGAGACCTTTTCTCAAAAAAAAAAAAAAAAAAAAAAACCAGGTTGCCCAATAACATCGCGAGTATTTTTTCAGATTTCTTTGGAAAGTTCCTAAAATATTATTATCTCATTATCCCCTCAAATACATTTTCATAAATAAGATAGAGACAGTTATGGGCTATGATTCAGTAGTTGATAAAAATAAACTTTTTTAAAAGAGTAGTATTAATAACTTGAAAGTTTTAATAGCAGAGAAAGATAAAATTGTCACAGTAATTAAGTGCAACATTCAAAGCTGTCATTTATATGCATTCTCCGATATAAAAGGTTTGCTTCTTTTTAACAGAGGAAAAATGATTTTGCTTAATGGGTTATAGAGTTCTCTCCCACATCCCACCCTCAACTCTCGTGGCACCACATGCCCTTATCACCTATTCCGACTGAAGAGGAGTCCTAGTACATGCTAGGAGGACCACAGATGAACTCTTCACTGAATCCCTATTTATACAGAAATATCTTTCAGAAATTACTCTCCAGGCAAAACATACCTTCTCAAGTATATTGCTTTATCAATTTAACCTTTCCAAAGTCAGTTACATTGCATAGAATTAACCATAAAATAAGCCTAAATATAAAGTTTTGCCAAAGGAAAAAAGAATTACATTTCATATATACTGCTTACAGAAATAGATTTATTATTTGGGTACTAAATTCTAAATTGTTGTTTTGACTTACAACTATAGTTCTCAAGTAATGAATAAATGTGTCTTATCTCAATAGATCAAAATTTTCAAGGTAGATTTGAATTTTTTTTCTAGCAAATCCCCAAAGCAACCCACATATTTTGATTATGTGCCTGCATACAAAAGCGCACTCTCTCTCTCTCTCTCGCTCTGTCTCTCTCTCTCTCTCTCTCTCTCTCTCTCTCTCTCGCTCTCTCTCTCTCTCTCAGAAACCTTAGACACCAAGATATATTTGGAAAATATTCAATAATGTTTCTGATTTTAAAATAATTTTTTGGCTAAATTGTAAGTAATAGGAAGTATTTCTGAACTCTCTATTTTACTTCAAGTAGCAAAATAATACACTTAAGCGATATTTGAACTGCTTGAATAACTCTACTACTTAATCAACAATTGTCAAGGAAAGCCACTTTATTAGCTCAGTTTTCAAATTATGAAGAAACTAAACTAAACACCAGCTAAGAAAAAGATTAGGGTTCTGTAACATAGTTTCCTTATGCTGGATTCTTTGCATTTGTTCTCCAATTGACTCAATTATACTGTAATTATCATCTTATGAAAAAGGGATCTTGTGCCTCAGCCATTTGGGCACTAGTAATGATCATTTGGGGATCTGGAAGAACTAGATGAAGGTCCCCTAAAGTGTCCTCTCTTTATGTTTGTGTCAGTAGAGGATATAGGAATAGCCTCTTTATACAGAGTCACCCTCATAATCCCTGCCTTTCGATATCCACAACCTTGTTTGGTATGTCCCACATTGCTCCCACATTGATCTGATTGCCCCAGAAAATACAGCTGGGAAGATATGTCATTTCCAAGATTAGGTTATAAAAGATCGTGGCTTCCATCTTGGGCTCACGCTCTCTCTCTTTCTCTTTGAAATCACTTTCTCCAGGGGAAGTGATTTGCCATGTCAGGAAGACATCAAACAGCCTATAGAGGAGCCTGCATAGTAAGGAACTGAGATCTCCAGCCTATATCCAGTGAAGAATTGAGGCCTTCCAACGGTCATGTTTGAAAGCGGATAACCACCTGATCAAGTCTTCAGATGGCTGGACCCCAGTTGACAGCTCAACTGCAACCTCATGTCAGATTTTGGGCTAGAATCAGATTTTAAGCTACTCCCAGACTCCTGACCCATAGAAACTGTGAGATGATGTGTTTTTTGTTTTAAGCTGCCAACTTTTGGGATTATTTGTTGTAAGGCAATAAATAGCTAACACACAGAAAATACCAGCGGTCTGATTGCATATCTCTAGCAGAGCTATACAGGTCTAAAGAAAGACATTGAGTGTTTCTTGCCCTCTAAGAGAAAGGCTGTTAGCTTGTTAAGGGTTATGGAAACATGTAAGAATACATGTACAACAGGGATCCTTTCTTTAAAAAGCATACATGTTCATAAACATGATTTGCAAATGATGTCACGTCTTTCATGTAATCCGTCAAGCCCTTCTATGAGTATAGTCTGGGTACCCGATGCCAGTTTAAAACCCTGTCCCAGGATCTCAAGTTAAAAGGAGTGCCAGAAACAGGCTGGTGCTCCACTCAAATTAGTAAAGCCAGAAGAGGGGCCACTAGAAAGTCCAGGGCTCACGCATCTACTCCTACAGAGAGAAGAAGCCACAGCAGTTAAAGAAGGCAGCCAAATGGTTTCCTGGACTGGAAAAGCTATGGCTGTAGCTTGACATTTAAGCTTTCTCACATTTAAATGTGCTTTTATCTTTTTAAAAAAAATGTTGACATACCATGTGGACATAGAGATTTCAAATAGCAACACCTGCCTAAAATGTTTATCCCAGATCCCCAGCTATTAATCTCATTCGCAAAGTTGTAGGGAAATGCAGTGTACAAAGAGAGTCATACAGACCCTGTTTCCCTGTGACCTCTCTTTAAAAGTGAGAGTTGACAAATGAAATAAGCAGTACAGGTATCATCTTCATCACAGACAGGCATCAGTGACAGACTTTCTGTCACCTAGCCCTCAAGTGTCTAGCAATGTGACATAACTTTTAAGAAAGCATAATATTGCTTGTGCATTATATGTGTGATTTGTATTTTCTTTTCAACATAATAACTCATGCATAAATTACTTGACCTGCCAGGACCAGAGTGTGAGGGAAAATGTGTGTGTGTGTTTGTGTGTGTGTGTGTGTGTGTGTGTGTGAGAGAGAGAGAGAGAGAGAGAGAGACAGAGAGAGAAGAATAAAAAATGGATTAAAAAATTGTCTCTATGAAGCTCTATGAAGGTCTTCAGACAGGAACATGCTGCTTCCCAGGCCCCCATAGGCATCCTTATCTCATTATGACTAGCATAGATCCTCTCATCACTTCATTCCTGTATCCACCAAACACAATTAAAGGCCCACCATGTGTCAGGCTATGTTTTGCATTATCTAAAATTCTGACCACAATAAAAGTCTAAGTAGCCTACATATATGCAGAGTCTTCCAAAATTGCATCCAGATCCCCAACTGTGGTAACCTCCATTTCCCTTTCTCTCACACTTTCCTAATTTCAGAGCTCTTAGCTAGAGCACCCAATCATCAAAATTCAATTTCAGTGTGTTCGAGAAAGGTGGCGGGGTTGGGGTGGGGGCCGGGATATAAATGTGAAAGAAGTGCAGTGGTGGAGGAGGTTGAAGCTCCCCTGCACTTTGATATTAAAGGAACCAGCACCAGCTGGAGGATCAGAGAAACTGGCTCTGGCTTGAAATTTTTCAGGACAGCAGTCTTCCTCCAAGCTAAGCACTGAAGCCTACTTCTCTGGGCTGGCTTTGTGTAGCCTCCAGAAGGAGATCACAGCAGGAGGTCAGGTATTCCACTTGACTCACCAAAGACTGAAGTGTTGGCCATGGAGTCTTAAAAAGGACCTCACACTTGTACTTCTGCAGGGGGAAGAACCCACATCATTTGAGGAGGCTGCTAAATGATTGCATGTAATGAACATGACATGGCAGTTGCTTGACGTTTTCCTTGCATTTAAATCTATCCTCCATTATTTTCAGCTTTTAATGTTCAATTAATTGCATTTTATCTTGACCATAGCGGGTAAAGATAAAAAATTCCAACCTTTTTTGTTGTTGGGATTTGTTTTATGATTATTCCCATGACAAACTGTTCACAAATCTGATTTGAAATTGAGGAGAAAAATAATCCAATTTTACTGTAATGAAATATCCACATTTGCCAAGAACCCAGAAAATGCTCTTTGTATATGGATGTGTGTGTGAGATAAACAGATTCTTTCTTCTTTGTAATTCTTTCCCTTGTCCAATATTATTAAAAAGAAAACAACACTAGGTAGGTAATCTGCTGGCTGGTGTGGAGGTGAAGGCATTCCTTCTAATCTGACAACCTCTCTTTGTACTTAAGGTCTGTATCACAGACAAAAATCATACCTCTGTATGTCCCCACCAGTCATATCCTAAGAACACACCCAAAACTTGGCTAGGTTTCTATCACTTCCCTGAACCAGATCCTCTTCCAAAATCACCTCTAGTTTTCTTCAGTTTGACTTGTTCTCCGGCTCCAACGTTTCTATTCCCTGCCGCCTCACTGTCTGGGGCATGAGGGAGCCCTACTGCTGATGGAAGGAGCGCACTAAAGAGGCAATTAAAACAACTACTCACATCGTGTGCAAATATTCTCTCCCTCACTCTCTGATATTCCTCTTCTCTCTCTTCAATTGATTTACTTCGTCTGTCATCTCTAAATGGATGCATTCTGTTTTGCTAAACAGAAAAAAGAAATCAGGAGGGTTATCCAAGTTGAGTTGTTAGAAATCTGCGGTCAAGCAACTGTCAGCTAAGAATAATGAATGTTCACTTAAACAAATGGAGCCTGAAAAGTCTCATTCTCTCTGTTCCCTGAGGAGGCTGTGTTGCGTGCATGTTCCATGTGAGTGTTTGCTGCGGCTGGTTGGTTCCTCACTGGGTGCAAGCAGCACAGGTGTTTCCAAAATGAGTACACCTCAATGTGCCTCAGGTATTCAGCCAATTCAGGTAGGTGGTGGCTCATTATTGATGAACTCTGTCCTTTGCAGTTCTGACTCCTAAGAAGGAGGCAGAATGCTGGTGAACAAAAGAGGAAGTGGCTAGTTCAAGGTGGCTGAGGGAAGAAATCATTTTGAAAGCTTAGGGCCTGGAGAAAAAGCAAGTGAGCAAAGAAAGCAATGAACAGAAAGGAAGATGTGGACACTATTTCTCCATCTTCTAATTTGTATTATTCATTCAGTGACTGATCCTATGAATTGCATTTAGCATAGAATCAACGACCTCAGGCTTACAGGCTAAATTTTAAAAACCTGTTTGGTAACAAGAGTCAATACCAAGAACACTAAAGCAATGCTTCAAAGAACCCAGCATGAGGACTGCTCTTTATCCTGCTTTCTGAACTACTTTCTGCATTTTAAATCTCCTTCCATCTGTTCTTACCATTCCTTACAAACTGCTCTGCACTAACCACATCCATCCATCCATCCATCAACAGACACCCACTAAACATGACACAGGCACAGGTTTCATAGTCAAAAGGAGCCATGGTGTAGCTTGGTGGTAGTGGGAGGAAACGAGATACAAATGATGAACAAGTTTTAAAGAAGTGCGTCAGAGATGCACATACTGGCTGAATGACTCACTGAGAGTGATTAAAATGATAACTTGAGATGCATGTTGTCTTACCTTTAAGAATTCTAAAGCAAAGTCATTTTCAAAAAATCTATTTTGATTGTCAGGGACACAAAGTATAACTGGAGTTGCATTTATATGAATTTCTATTGTTATCATCATTTAAAACCTTGTGGGTTTTTGCCGTTTATTTAGTTTTCTTCTAATCACCCTGGATCCCACAGCCCCCATCTAAAGAAGAGATTTAGTAAAGTCTCTTTACTCTTGTCTGGGTACCACAAATAAGGCTGCTCTAGAACAGCATAGTGTTTTGTTACAAGCAAAATACACAAGGATAAAGTTCTGCTACACTTCATGCAAAACAAGCAGACATTACATGGACCATAAAACATGGGAAGGAGAGGGGATAAAAGACTAAAACATGAACTCAATTCTTTTCTGTGAAGACTTATTTTAGGATAGTTGCAAAATCCACCTGTCCTCACCATAACAAGGTTTGTTCTTTACAGCTACACCGGTTGATCATCGGTCCGTATTGATTATCCAGCTCAATTTGTGCACAACTGAAGGACAAAGCTGTAGGGAGTGGAACGACTGCCATAGTTACACAGACATCTGGAAATGCGACTGACAAAGCTTTTCTCCACAGCTCGGAGCCTGTGGCATCCCGACCCCCCAGACATGCAGCAGAAACCGCGCCAAGCACCACCCATGCAGCCCAACATAGAGCCATTGCTAAAGCAACCAGACATATATATATATATATACATATATGTATTTTGCTACCCATTGAATGCCAAAGGGGGAGGCAAGGAGGAGAAGGAGGTTGGAGATAGGACAGTGGTATTAGAGGCAAGGGAAGATTGGAGGGAAGGCAGGGACAACAGAGGGACGACAAGAACATCAGTCAGCCCACCTTCAAAAACAACAATGTCAGCCACTCTCAAACTTGAGAACCAACCTGATTGTCTTCTTTATCAATACTAGAGTTATCTCGCTTCAAGATAAACCGCTTCTGGGATTCTTCACCTTTTTCATCTTTTAAATGTTCACAAAACCTTTGCTCTGGTCTGCCAGCAAAGTAAAACATATCAATAAAAAAGTTTTTTTCCCTTTGTTTAAAGTTATTTCTTAGTGTTGTTCTTCCCCCACATTGTCATTTAACTTAAAAGTTTACAAGTGGTTTTGATACTAGAGTTGCTGGCAATATACAGGTAGGTAATAATATGTCACTTCACATGTGTTGTTAGAAGAACTTATGTTGTTTTGAATTCGGGGTCTTGTTTGCTACATGCTGCTCATCATGGCTGAAATTGAAAAACAAAATTTAAAGCCCTGCTTATATATAGTGTACAGATGTTTTCCTTAGTTATTTTGACCTCTATTACTCCTGAATTCAAATAAGCCCATATTCTCAAACAGATACACATGTTTAGAACTTAAGAGTGACACATTAATTCAACAATGTCTGGAAGCTGACAGAATACCTTCTATCACATCCTCCTCTTCAAGAGTTTTTGGACTGCATAGTCAGAGAGGATCACTTAAAAATTATTTTCCGTCTCCTCCAATAATGAACACTCTGGAATCTGGCTCCAGCAGACTGACACCCTTGACCATGTCTTGTAAATCAGTTCAGTAATTGGAGAAACCGGAGGTATTTAGTTTAAACAACTGAATATCTGATTAGCATGGGGAAAACGCTTCAAGCAGTTATACACTATGGATTAGTCAATTGATTTTTTTTAGGTCCCCTTAATCATTTGGTGTTATTAAAGGAAAGGGCTCCACTTCCTTGTTAATTTCCCACAGTTCTCATTGCAGACTGCAGAACTCAATGAATGATCTGGACATGGGTTCATCCACAGAGGAAGAGCTAAATGTGTGTCTGATTCAGACAGTTAAAATTTATGACTATTATTAAAGGGCCTCTGTCATATCTGATGTATGACTTCTGAAGCCTAGAGGGTATTCTGTCCCTACTGTGTTCGTTACGTTTTGAGTCATTAGGAAGCTGCTCACAGTGTCTGTTGTTTAATGTGAGTGACCAGTAATTAGGAGAAACTTATCATTTGCTCCTAGCTCTAAAATAAGCAAGTAGCACATTGAAAATAAAGAAGTAGTTTAAGTGCATAATTCAAATCTTGATAAGAAGCATTTTTTCTTTCCTTAAATATGTATATATAAATTATCATATTGGTGAGCAGGCAACAGCAAAATACTGGAATAATACCAGTTAGAGTTTTCAAAACTGAATATAATTTTTGCAACATGGTGTCGATATCTTATTCAATCCAGTAAAAGTCTGGTGCAGAAGCAAATATTTTTGCCTCTTGTAAAGACAAGGAGATCATCCCTCCATGCTGCTTTTGACTTCGCGTTTATGAATATGCCCAGTCAGCCGCAGGCACCACACAGCCTAGTCACATCCTTCCAGAGACTCAGTTTTGTTCCCCTCTATATTACAGAGTGGGCTGAAGGCCCTCCAACTCCAAAATAAAGAACCAAAACCCTCCATCAACTTATCCTGGTTTTCAATGTAAATGTTTTCCACCAAACTTAAAATGTAACCAAAAACCTGAAAGTGCTAATATGACATATTAAAATTAGTATTCTAAAGATATAAACTTGTATTTTACAATGAAAAGGCCATTTATAGTAGAAAAAATTAAACATTTCAGTGTAGCATAGTCACAGTACATTTTAATTTCTTATTACACTGTAAAGATATTACAGTGTAACCCTGCAGGTCCCTGTAAACAATAGCAATCCTCCAGATTAAGTTTCCTAACATTTTCTGCTGATACTTATATGTTGTTACACATTTTTTTTTCCCATAGCAAATGAAATTAGGATGGTGACTTATATACAGATGTCGATTCCATCAGTGCTACTTAGGTCTGTTCTGATATCCCTAGGCTCTGTTAAGCTCTGATCAGCTCTAGGTAAGTGAAATGATTTACTAACTTACAAATTTACAGGCATGTTTTGTATTTGTTGTAATAGTCTGTAATTGTCCATTTACAAATAAAATGATCTGAGAATGTGGGCTTTTTGATTCATGAGCATAAGGTGAATTTTTTAGATTTACTTATTTAGGTCTAAAGCATTAGAGTGAGATTTCAGCACACTAACCAGAATTAGAACTTAAGTTTCATGTCAAGCAGACCTTGTCTTTTTAAAATACTTAAGCCTTAGTGCCTAGAACCATGCCTGGTACCTGAGAGGCACTTGGCTGAATAAATATATTAACCAGTATGTAAACAAATGAATATTTAGCAGAGCTATTCATAAATCACTATAATTCAGGGACAGATTAAAAAAAAGTCACTTGATAAGATATGAAATTATGAGTTTCATAATTATAAAACAGAAGAGAACTTGGTTAGTAGGAGTATAAATTCAAATTTAGAACATTAGTAAGATCTTCAAAAATCAGATTTATGTTTCAATTTATGTTGACCAAAATTAATTATGCTACAAAAACAAATGTTTTTGTTTGTTTGTTTTAAATATAAGGACATCTTGGGAAGATATGAAAGTGAAAATGAAAATCTTGGCTTTCCCAGTTTTGGAACTTCCCAGTTTCAAGTGTCATTGTATCTTTAAAAGAGCTATTTAAACAATATTTTTAAAATATCATTTCCATTTCTCTGTAGTCATTTATTTTTCATAAATTTAGAAAAAATGCATCTACAACATAACTGAAAAAGTAGTCAAAAGGCTCACTCTAATTAATAATGTAAACATTGTTTAGAGCAAGAATATTTCCTATTGATACAAATGATACAAAATGCATCCTTGATAACTGCATTTCAAATAACTCAGGATTTTTTCAAATACTGGAATTGAATAGTTTAAATTATTAATCATTTTATATTTTTCCAAAAGTATTGAATGATCATAGAGTAACTATTTGAAGTCTGCTTTAAAAATTTAAATGATTCTAATAAGATTTTTGTAGGTTGATTTTATAGAGAATTGTTTATGATTGTTGAGTTAAAGAGCAATTTTTCAGTTTAAGCTCATGTAAACTAAGGTATACAACTGAAGTACTGCAGATTATTAAACGAAAACTCACTGGTAATGTACCTTAATATTACAGTCTCGAAAGCTCAGCTCCCTTTCACAGTTAATTTACCACCAGAGCAATATTATATCTAAGCAATAAAATGAATGGAACTAAAATAATGTGTTGCAGACCTTTATTTAAAATAGTAATAGAGGGCCAGGCGCGGTGGCTCAAGCCTGTAATCCCAGCACTTTGGGAGGCCAAGGCGGGTGGATCACGAGGTCAACAGATCAGGACCATCCTGGTCAACATGGTGAAACCCCGTCTCTACTAAAATTACAAAAAATTAGCTTGGCATGGTGGCGCGTGCCTGTAATCCCAGCTACTCTGGAGGCTGAGGCAGGAGAATTGCTTGGACCCAGGGGGCGGAGGTTGCGGTGAGCTGAGATTGCGCCATTGCACTCCAGCCTGGGTAACAAGAGCCAAACTCCGTCTCAAAACAAAAAAATAATAATAGATAACTTTTAAGGTAAATATGTAAATATAATTGGAAGAAAACATTCTCAAAGCTGCAAAAGGTTGTAGTATTTATTAAATCAATGATGACTAGACTTTACTATATATTTTACAGCTCTGCAGCATTCATGCCTAACTTTGTTTTTCTGGTAGATTTTAGTACATGTGGTATCATTTTTATCTTTCTCTATATTGCCATCAAAAAAGCATGGAAAATAAATGTAATGCTTATTCTAGATGAAAAATACTTCCTTCTTCTGAAGGTAAAATATGTCTTTCCACAGTTTGGAGCATATAACTGCTGTGGAACTCACTGTTCATGTGTTGTGAACAGTACTATCATTTCTGGTCAATTTCTAGGCAACCCCAATGAAACCTTTGAAAAGTCAGAATTAATTCTTCATTGTTCCTCACTTAGGCATAGCTTATGAATTAAGAAACAGTGTGGTTGAGTGAAGATAATCAAACTCTGTCTTCTAGTCATTCAGTTCCAATTTTAGTTAGTTTTTTTCCCCTTGAAGCTTGACATAGATGAGCACTTACTATTATGATTATTTCTAATTTTTCTTACCTTGAAGTATTTTCAATAGTTTACCTTACTGCCAGGTTCTTAAGGCAAGATTTATTATTTTTCTTCCAAATAGTTATGCTTAACCCTCCACTCATTTTCCAAACATAAATAAAAAATGTAATTCTACTAAGTATGTAGTCACAGAGAGGTCTTAAATTTCACCCTGAGTAACTGAAAAGTGGTTATCAATATGTATAAGTATTTCAACAAATAAACCTTTCTGTTCACAACAGTATAAAATATTTTGATGGTGTAAGACACCTAGCAAAAGCATTTTAGTAGTTAAATTACAGAATTCTCATGACACTGTTCTCTTAATATCTCAAAAAAATTCAATTAAAAATATGTACACTTTGGATGTATTTTATTGAAAATAGAAAGGAAAGTTCTATGTTCTTCTTTTTAAATGTGTATTTCACAATTTGCATTCTCAGTTTGTCATTTTATACCACTTCATCTTCTTTTCAAATAAGACTATACCTTATGAATTTAATATGTGCAGCGCTAAGCAGCCAACATTCTTTATAAGAATCTTTCAAACTTTGTTCTGAATTTTGTAACATCCTGGCAAAATTCATTTAATTCCTCTCTGTTTCTGTAGTGAACTTTATATACAGGCAGAGGCACGCAAACCAAAGCTTTGCCTCTCCCTTAACGTGAGACTTTCCATGAACAGCAGCATCAAGCACATCATTTAGAAACAACATGCGTTTGTAAGGCATCCCTTACATTGACACCACTGCTCTGGCAAACAATTTGGCTATGTGGATTTAGAGACCTAAAATTTTAAAGTATCACTTTTTCTTGACAAGGTAGTTCTATTTCTAATAATGAATCAAAAAAATAATAAATGAATGCAGAATTCTATCATTCACAACAACAAAACAGTGAAAATCTAAAGTAGATTAAGTAAGTAATTTAAGATGCATAATATATGATATGTGGCTCTATAAAATTATATCTAATATTGA